GGGAGTAGATTGCTCAGTCTTCCTGCCAAGGAGTAGCTGCTGGGTTTGAACCACCAGCTTTCTGGTCAAATGCCTTAGGCACTAAGCCACCAGAGCTCCCAATTTTATGATTACACACACACACACACACACAACTATATGCCATTTTATTTCATTCTTGTTCTATGCTTTTCCATCTAGCTTTGTAAAATGTTATTACATATAGTTATTAAAAATGGCTTTTTTTTAATAGAATTCATTAATCAAAATAGAACTCCAGAACTGAATAGAGATTAATATTTGATCTTTGTGATGAAGTCATTTCCTGTAAGTCTTTCTACATAAGATTCAGCTTGTATCCACCATATTTATACTTATCCATATATATACAAGATATTTGTGAACAAAAAGTAAATAATTATAATTATTTCTGATACATGTGATATATCATACATAAACAAAGATATATATCTTTGTAAAAATCACTAACATGTATTTAAAATATTTAAAAATTTGAAGAGTTGCTTCAGAATATTTGTTCCTTTTAATGGTGGTTGTTGTCAGTTATGTCAAGTCAGCTCCGACTCATGGCGACTTTATGTGTAATGGAACCAGACACTGCCCCGTCCTTTGCCATCTTCGTAACTGCTGGTACGTCTGAGTCCATCACTGCGGCTATTGTGTCAATCCCTCTCATCGAGGGTTTCCCTTGTTTTTGATGGCCCTCTACTTTGCCAAACATGATATCCTTTTCTAGTGGTTAATCATTCATGATGGCGTGTTCAAAGTAAGCTGTCGAAGTCTCACCATCCTCACTTCTAAGGAACATTCTGGCTGTGTTTCTTCTATGACCAATTTGTTTGTTCTTTTGGAAGTTCATAGAATATTCAATATTCTTTGCCAACACCACAGTTCAAATGTATCAATTCTTCTTCTGTGTTTCTTTTTCACTTCCAATTTCACATGCATATGAAGCAATCAAAAAGATCACAGCTTGGGTAAGGTGCACCTTGACATCAAGGTGACATCTTTGCTTTTTAAAACTTTAAAGAGGTCTTCTCCAGCAGATCTGTCTAATGCAAAAAGCTGTCTTGATTTCCTGACTGCTGCTTCCACGGACGTGATTGCTGAACCCAGTAGTACGAAATTGTAACTTCAGTCTCCTCTCCATTTATCATAATGCTGTTTATGGTTCCAGTTGTGAGGATATAATTTTTAAGTATATCCTTTTTATTTGGTACTATGTTCCAAATAAGTTGTTAATTGCTCTTGACATACATTTTATGACAGATTTATTTCAAGTTAAGACACAATGCTAAAAAGTAGTAGACTACTTGGGCTAGTTTATGAAGGCTTTAGGGTTATTCAATAATTTAATGTTAAATATTGTTTCTTATTTCTACCCTATCACTAATATGATCAGAGGAAAATCAGCATAGGCAACACAGTGCTCTCATAACACATGTACAAAGAGCTACCCACTGCCACTGAGTTAATTCTGACTCTTAGCGACCCTCTTTGGGTTTCCAAGGTGGTAAATCTTTACAAAAGTAGATTGCCCATCTTCTTTCAGTGGAGCAGCTCGTGGGTTTGAACCACCAACCTTCTGGTTGGCAGTCAAATGCCGTAGGCACTGTGCCATCAGAGCTTCTTATAAGAAGTCTGGGAGGAAGAAATTATAGATCATTCACAGGGTCTAAAGTCAGTTCAGAAGGTCACTGCGAGTTGGATTCAACTCAATGGCTGTGGGTTTATAGTCAGTTCAGTAGTATGAATAGACAACAACAGCACATCTTCAGATCAAGGTTCTAAACTGGATTGTACCAGATAATCTGTTTAATTATATGCTTTTATTATGGATATGTTATCATCAATATAGAACATATTTCATGAGCATTATAGACATAGCTATGAAAAAATTCCCTACACTGTCTGTCTCTGCCTATAAAATAATCTGACTAGGTAAGTATATCAAGTCCTACATTGTCCCTATATAACAGACAAAAGTAGAAAATTGGAGAAAGACTAGAATGTTTTCCTAAGACTGGAAGATGTAAAGATGTGTACAGGAAAGATAAATCAAGACATTCATTAATCTATTATTTGCTAAACAAATATTTACCAAGGTCTACTTTGTGTCAAACATTTTTGCTAGTTGCTAGGGAAATGATGATCAGCAGTACTTATACTGTTTTTGTTTTTAGGGATCACTGCTCGTTTGGAGTATCATTTCTATAGCTGCTCTTACAAATACTTCGGCTAGTAAATTCATCTCCTGACAACTAACTTCTGTTTCTGCCTCACCTTAATCGACAAATGCACAGTAATCAGTGTATGTTTGATTCAGTAACTAATGTATTATAACTCAAAAGCAATGGAAGATAATGCTGTTGATTACCTTTTTACCAAGAAAATTAAGCATTTTATTTCAATAAAATTTGGGGTAAAAAGTCCTCCCTCAAGCAAACCCAGGGTCTCAAGTTTCACAAAAGCACCATGAGCATTTCAAAGTACATTGGTTTTTGCTAGGCTAACAACTGTTAGATTGGTTTATTTTAAATCACTTGGGCCTGAAAAAAGGACCAGTGGCTACAGGCATATGTATCCCTGTTTCTGCACAACATACAACCATTCATCTTCAGGTAAAAACTAGTGAATACTCAAATAGCACTGGAGTGAAATAACAGTAATGAAAATAGTAGGTGACAGAGCAGCTACTTTCCCCAGAAAATACCACAGCATGAGGGATGCAGGCATGAAAAATATAAAAATTATACCTGCCTTGGATCGTATAATGTACTATACCCTCCTTCGTGGAATATACATACAAGGCCACTGAAATATATGAAAAATACATCTCAGGAAGCTGAGATACTAGACATTTTACCCAAATCTTTTAGACTGCAGCCTAAGAAATCCAATCAAAGGGTACTCTATGAAATGTGTCAAAGAATACCAGAATATCAGAACCTGAAACAGCGCACTGCAGCATTACGTCCTTCATCATCCATCCCTGGGACTGTGCCATTTTACCTGTCGATCTTGGGTTCATCAGCCTCAGCAGTCAGCAGCCGTATGGGTCAGAAGAAGCCATTAGCTTGCTCCAGCTTTTACTATTTTCCCAAATCCCTTCTTTAACTGTTCTTGGACAAAAATACATCTAGGTGTATTATGAGTTGGCACATAAAAATAAATGATACTTCAAATGTGAGGTGCAAATTATTTTGAGTTATCTGAAGACTTTTCAGTTTGATTATAATACAATTTGATAGACAATAAACAAGGGTCCAAAAATGTACATCATTTGTGATAAAAAGAAAATGAATTTATTTCATAGTAAGGCTATAATGTAAAATGCTGGAGAAGAAGCAAAGTGTTCCTGATAAGAATCAGGGTTTGGTTGGTTGACTGGAGCCTAACCTGAATCAACACTGTCCTGGTTCTCTAGTGCTGCTATAATAGAAATACCACAAGTGGATGGCTTTAACAAGTAGGAATTTATTCTCTTAAAATTTAAGAGGCTAGCTGTAGGAGCCAGGGAAGGCCCCTCGACCTTGGGCTCCAGCTCTGCCTCCTGTCCCAGGCCACTGGAGCAAGCTAAAGGCGTCTTCTGATGCATGCAGCTGCTGAGGATGATGAACCTAAGATTGGCAGGTAAAATGGCACAATCTCAAGACTGGCAGAAAACATGGCAGGCCACTGATTCAAGTCCAAGAACAATCCTAAGATTGGCAGGCAACACGGCAGGCCACTGGTTATCCAAGTGTGCCAAAAAGCTAGAGATGTTCCTCAAAGCTTCCCCATATATACTGGAAGTAGGTCACACACCAAAGGCAATAAGCTGCTCATAGAGATTCCATCATGTAGTAGATCACACCAGTCCGATCTCATCATGAGAAATAACTGCATCCAGCTGCCCAACCAAGTTGACTAACACAAACACTAAAGATAATTAGGAAACACCCAACATACATTTATTCTGATTGTTAATATATTTTACTTATACAGACAAAACAAACTCTGAATCATTAGTCCACTTCCATATTTAAAAAGCAGCATCTATAAAGGTTGATTCACAATTATGCCATTCTATTCATAACTCTAGCAATATTAGATTATTCGACATTGTTTTGCAGATACACTGGAACAAGACATAATGAATATTTTCGTGGTATGTCACCAAATTTCTGGGCTTAGTTTGGTGTCACCCAGACTAATGATCATCCTAATTCCCACAGTGAGAGATTATGACAAAGTTTAATTCTACTTAAATTATGATTAAAAAAAAAAAAAAGTATAAAGTTTGGATTACAAAATGAAAGATAATACACAAATACATTCTATTTTACTATTATTATTATTATTAAACAAAAAACAAATCACAAAATAAAGGTTAGTACAATTTACAATATACAAATAGTATAATTCATATTTTAACCAAAGCCAAAGAAAGCACTTCAACTTTGAATTTATATATATGTGCTTATTTCCATAAGCTTTTATTACTTTAATATTATAATATTAAGATTTACCTGTATTTTTCTAAAAATGACTCACATAAAAATTAGTTTAAATCAC